CTATAACTTTTTTTTTCTATTGGAAATAGTAAGAGTGGCACATTTCTGAAATATTTATTAAATGTGCAATTTTTTTATGTAATGTACATTTATAGCTCGGTACATTTTTTTCACCAGAGATAGTAAAAGTTGGGGAACAAAATATCAAAAAGTTAAAAATCCCAAAATAGTCCTAATTTTATAATGGTTCCTTAATATATTTGTACTACATTGCATTTGAATATGGAGAAGCAACTACCTGGAAGTATTTTACATACAAAATTTACTAAGTTTGTAGATGCTGTTAAAGAAAATACATGAAAAGGCACGATTTTTATTTAACAACATTGGGGCCGCATACATAACTTGTTTACAAAAATGAAATTTTCAGTACTGACAAAACTACCACATCAAGTGGTATGGATATATTTTCTTTCTTAATGATTAAGTATTTATACATATACATATCTATGTTTGAATATCTAAACAATGTGAGTTGGTTTGTCATTAAATTCAATTTGTTGTTATATATGTATACATTTTTGTTTTTTCGGTTAATACTTAATGTGTGTGTTTTTTTGTATTTTTGTATATTTGTTATAACAGATAAAATAAACACTACCCCTGAGGATGCTAAAAAAGTTTTAGCGAAACGTCGGGTGAAAAGTGGAATAAAGTAGTTTTATTCGCACCAAAACTGAAAAGATCAGACTAGCCTACAAACATAAAATAAAATAAATTTGAACTGATCGGACAAAAAAGATAGGTGACACTTTTACCTGAAAAATGTTTGCTTATCAGGGCGCTCACCACCCCACTTGCCTTCTCCTCAAGTTTGGCAGGTTAATTCTGGGACACCCTGTAGATATGCATACATGCAGCTTTTTTCATGTTAGCTGAGCCGAAGATACCTAATTAGAATACCTTTCCTGCCATGTTCAGAGCTTATTTAGTGCATTTTATTCTGGATATAAAAATCTTTTTATACACATAAGTATGTACATACATATGTGTATAAATGCATTGTTTCAAATTAAATATATATGTTGATTGAATTAAAGTGAACATTTAATTGGTTCTATAAAAGTTTAAAATCGTTATTAGTGCATTACTATTTATTTTGGTTTTTGATAAATACAACAATACTTATATCTTGTACCGATCACTAATGTAGTATAGATGCATATTAAATTTTACTGAAAAAAATTTTTTGATTTTTTGATGTTTTGATTCGTCTTAAGTTTTGGTGCTTTTAGGAAAGTTGGCAGCCTGGGGCCCACATTCATGAGTACTCACATATACTTGTTCTCTCATTCCGATCACGCATACAGATGCAATTCGCGCAAAATTTTCTGTTTCCCCCCCGGGCATATTTACCTCAAATCATCTACCCAACGGTTTGCACATTTGCCCGCGGTTTGCACGTTTGGGCATTTTACCCGTATGTGCACATTATGCCCATCGCTACTGTAGACTATCAATATAGGGGCCGGTAACACTGGTCTGAGGCCACTGAAATAAATCGTGTGGGCCGAACAGTATTAATTTAATAATTTAAAGATACCAACCATACATCGTATCCGGAGTGAATTTGTAAAACCTTGAGAACTTAAGTGAAGNTATGCCCATCGCTACTGTAGACTATCAATATAGGGGCCGGTAACACTGGTCTGAGGCCACTGAAATAAATCGTGTGGGCCGAACAGTATTAATTTAATAATTTAAAGATACCAAAAATCCATACATCGTATCCGGAGTGAATTTGTAAAAAAATGAGAACTTAAGTGAAGTAAAGCAACTTCAGTGGGCAGAAGCTAAGGAAAAGGCAACTTAGAGGACCGAAGCCGATCTGCAGAAGTGACTAGTGAAAGAGGACCTAATAACAGCTCTGATAGACATCGGGGTTGAATCCCTGAGACAGCTACAATTTCGCAGCTACGTTCGTCATTGGAAGGTGTAGTTGGTACTGCACCGGTAGTTCAAAATCCAGGGGAAAACACCAGCGTGGATGAAGAGGCACGCGCGACCAACTATTCTCAGGTAACAAACGTCGCCATTTCTGAAAAGAACGGTGACGCTGCAGGTATACAAAATGGCGGTCGTGAGTAGCATCAAGTACAGGCGGCAACCGTGAAAGCGGATACAATGTGCACCGTCAAGATCGCTAGCGAGATAATGATGGTGGCCTAGCGTTCACGCCCCATACCGTCCAGTATCGTCTCATTGAAGCAGACATCGACCGCAGAGATACCATCCTAGAATGGCAAGGCATTGCTATCCGGTTAGGTGATGTCGAGCTCGAAATATTTAACGTTAAAGGGGGTATCCCTGTCGCCAGCTGCCCGGAAGGATATCCCCCTGAAATAGGTGCGCTCCTCAGAGATGAAAATCGTATGGCAGTTGGCGACTTTAATGCGCACCACGATCTTTGGCATGAAAGCCTGTTAAATGATCGTGATAAACAGCATATCATGGCGACCTATGCTGACCTATGCTGACCTTGGTATCAGACCATCTGCCCATAGTCATGTCGATCAGCGTTGCCACTTTTTGCCTTTTCGGACCAAAATTAGTCCGATTTATTTACCTTGGTCCGTTGGTCCAATGAAGCGAATTTTGGTCCGTTTTGTGATATGATAAATTTTTCATCAGTATGAGAAATTAAATTTGGAAGAAAAAAAAATTATGTACACTCTAAAACTTTTTATTTAAATTTATGCATATTAAGAGAAATAACCCTCTCTTTACATATGCAAATTTACACAATGTTAAACAATGTAGCAAGGAAGCCGCTTGCGTGCTCTGCAAGTCTAGTGGTCTAACCAATGAAGCTCATATTGCAGGTGGTAAGCAGTGCCCATTCTATCAGCGTGCATTAAAGGCTAAAGTATGAAGCTTCTACAATTAAATCTTAACCACTGTTCAGCTGCTCAGGAGCTACTCTGTCAAACCGTTATAGAGGAAGACATTGAAAAAAAAAAATATGTACACTCTAAAAATTTTTGTTTAAATTTCCGCATATTAAGAGAAATAGCCCTATCTTTACATACGCAAATTTACACAATGTTAAACAGTGTAGCAAGGAAGCCGCTTGCATGCTCTGCAAGTCTAGTGGTCAAGCCAATGAGGCTCATATTGCAGGTGGTAAGCAGTGCCCATTTTATCAGCGTGCATTAAAGGCTAAAGTATGAAGCTTCTACAATTAAATCTTAACCACTGTTCAGCTGCTCAGGAGCTACTCCGTCAAACCGTTATAGAGGAAGACATTGAAAAAAAAAATTATGTACACTCTAAAAATTTTTGTTTAAATTTCCGCATATTAAGAGAAATAGCCCTATCTTTACATACGCAAATTTACACAATGTTAAACAGTGTAGCAAGGAAGCCGCTTGCATGCTCTGCAAGTCTAGTGGTCAAGCCAATGAGGCTCATATTGCAGGTGGTAAGCAGTGCCCATTTTATCAGCGTGCATTAAAGGCTAAAGTATGAAGCTTCTACAATTAAATCTTAACCACTGTTCAGCTGCTCAGGAGCTACTCCGTCAAACCGTTATAGCGAAAGACATTGACGTCGTCATTTTAAGCGAGCCATATAAGAAAGAAAGCCAGGGTACATGGATATCAGGTAAAAAAGAAACAACTGCTATATGGGTCAATGGAGAGCAGTGTCTTGCTGAGAAACCTTATAGTCAGGAGTATTTTGTCAGAGGTAAGATCGGCGGGATATATATCTATAGCTGTTATGCACCACCGAGCCTGAGTTATCAAGAGTTTGAATCTTTTCTAGATAGCCTAGTTCAAGACGCCACGTTATATTCTCAAAAGCTTATAGCGGGTGACTTTATTGCATGGGCCGTTGAATGGNGTTTGAATCTTTTCTAGATAACCTAGTTCAAGACGCCACGTTATATTCTCAAAAGCTTATAGCGGGTGACTTTATTGCATGGGCCGTTGAATGGGGAAGCGTTAGAACAAACCGACGAGGTCACGCCCTATTAAAGGCATTTGCACCACTCGACTTGTTCTTACTGAATACAGGTAACAAAAACACTTTGAGAAAAATGGCAGGGGCTCAGTCGTTGACACTGCATGTTGCGCCCAATCACTGGCACCAAAAACCACTTGGAAGATTCGTAACACTTATACTCAGAGTGATCATTTAGCGATTTTAATTGAAATCTGTGATGTAAAAAACCCTTCTAGCAGATGTTCCAAAAAGTATGGTAAAGGATGGTACAAAGAATAGTTCGACCCAAATATGTTTAAACTAAAACTGGATGGTATCAGAAACGTTAGTGAAACACCACATAACGCGGAAGCTCTTTCAAAAGAGCTCTCAAAAGCTGTTATCAGGGCATGCGATGCGTCAATGAGCAGAAAGGGCCACAAAATGGTGACAGGTAATAAGATCAATTGACTTTATTTCGCACCAGGGTCATTGCCTTTTTAAAAACGAAATAAAATCCATTGACATTATTTCTCTTNAACTAAAACTGGATGGTATCAGAAACGTTAGTGAAACACCACATAACGCGGAAGCTCTTTCAAAAGAGCTCTCAAAAGCTGTTATCAGGGCATGCGATGCGTCAATGAGCAGAAAGGGCCACAAAATGGTGACAGGTAATAAGATCAATTGACTTTATTTCGCACCAGGGTCATTGCCTTTTTAAAAACGAAATAAAATCCATTGACATTATTTCTCTTTCAAACAATAAATTTCCTTAGCTTCGCGGCGGCCCGCGTCAGCGCGCCACACATCGCGCTCGCGCTCGCGCCCCGCGAATCCCGCGTACCCCACGCGACCGGCGCGCACACCACGTCACGCTACGCCGTTTTGTGCAAATTGCAGATAGAGGGTATTAATGAATTCAAGCCCTCGA